GAGCAAGAGAGAGAGAGAGAGAGAGAGAGAGAGAGAGAGAGAGAGAGAGAGAGAGAGAGAAAGAGAGAGAGAGGGAGTTTCGACATGTTCAGGGAACAAAGAACAAGCGGTGAGTCCAGTCAAAAGGAAGATGGACATGGATTAACAGCTGTTGGAATTTCTTTTGACTTGCCGGTGGAATAGGAACCGGACCGATGCTCCCCAGAACGGACAAGGAGATAGGACCGTAAGGTTCTGTTCGGGAAAAAACAACCCACGGGTGGGAACTTTTCCGTTACCCCAACTTAGCCCGCGCTTCATATCTGTGATTGATCGACAATTTTTGGTGAATACATTGTCTCGGCCTCTGATGTATGACATGCGACGCCCTTGCACACAGCAGCTAGCTACTGCGTGTGCTGCTGGTGTGTGTTGTTGGTAGTGTCATCTTGTCTCGGGGGACTCAAATTTCTTCTTTGTGTTTGTGGAAGTTTGCGCACCTCTTGACCATGCTGTTATGGTGTTTTCACTGTTGTTCTAGGAGGATGCCTACGTCGAATTCCTGAAGCTACGAAGTGTACCTATGGAACCCGCGGGCCCGGTACCATCATTCCCCGACGCAATTGAAATGGTAAGGGATCTCCATTTCCAGTGGACAACCTGTTTGACACCGGCTTAAGCTTCCCCTCGCCCCTCCCCCYCCCCCYCCCCCCCTCTCTTCCCAAGATGGACCTTTTTTTTTTTGAGCACTGCGTGGTTCTGTGTGGTATTGCTTAAAAACATTTGGAAAACTGGTGTTCGTGGGATACATAGATGTGTACTAAAGTAACTATAGTCTATAGAGTCGTGTAGACACTAGAGAAATAGTAGAGATGCATTGAAAAATGTATGAAATAATGAAACTGTATTTTCTCAGGATGCATAGCTATGTATACTGGCTCTATGTGTGGCAACGTGTAGAGGACGCCTCGAGGACCACCAGGACACCCACCTGGAAGGCTATTTCTCCCGGAAGGAGTCTCGACGACGCCTCTGAGTCCGTCCCAAATTGGGGGGTAGGAGGTGGTCACTGCAGGATGTTGGTGGGACCTCGTCTTGGACCCCGTAACTGCTGGTGCTTCCTTTTGGGCCTTGGCGTGGAAGCTCATGGCCCCTTGACATCTGTGGTGTGTGCCTGGGGGCGACTCATAGGGCCACCAGCACATCCACCCGGGAGGCTCTTTCTCCCGGAAGGAGTCTTGAGGACGTCTCTGAGTGTGTTCCAAGGGAGGGTGGGAGGTGGTCACTGCAGGATGGTGGCGGGACCTGGTCTTCTTTGACTCTGTAACTGCTGGTAAATCCTTTTGGGCCTTGTCGTGGAATCTCATGGCGCTCTGACAGCATACCTGGCCTTCATCTGCAAGTCAGCAGCCTTGGCCCTTGCCCGAGATTACTCCGTGACCCGTCCCCTGTACACCGCCTCGTACCCTGCCATCACCGCCTCGTGCCCTGCCACTGTCCCTTGGGATGCTTTGCCTTTCTATTGCCCTGCCCTCACCTCCTGCCATGTTCCCCGTCCTCCATCCATCTCTCAGCAGCCTGGGTCCACCTTCCCTTCCCTTGTCCCTTGCCCATGGCTCCTGCGCTCCTGGTCCCCATGGCCCCTGGCCTTGATCCCTTGCACAACCTTCTTGGTGTTCCACAGCTACAAGTCATACCACCTAGAGCCGTGGGTCTTGCTCCGTTCCCATTGCCCCTGGCCTAGGTGTGCAAGGGATCCCATTCACCATCTCTGGCACCTGAGATGGAGGGGGGTTGGGAAGGAATCTCCAAGTAAAGTATCTGAGAAAAACTGACAAGCTGCTCGTATTTTTCTGTGTCTAGAACCCCATATCCCCTATAATGATAGACATAGGGATTAAAACACTTCCATATAAAACTAGAAGATCTAGCATTCAAGCCATAATAGACCCGGAGCATTGTCCTGCTTAAACCACCACTACCTTTCACAGGCAAATGCAAAGTCCATCAGTAGCCTACTCCTGAAAATACGGGGGCTCGGGGCAGGGTTGGAGGCCGACAAAAAAAAAAGGGGGGAAAAAGGAAAAAAAAAAGAAAGAAAACAAAGAGTTTTGAATCCAGGGACGTCGGGGAAGGCCCTCACGAGGGTGGAAGTAACACCAGTGCTTTGATGAATGCATCTGGCCACTATGTTGGGAAAGGGATTGCAGTTTCGTTTTTCTTTTTGTTTTTGTTTTGAATTGCCTGTAGTGCCCTGCCAGCTAGGCAGGAAGTTACACCAGTGCTTTGATGAATGCATCTGGCCACTATGTTGGGAAAGGGATTGTAGTTCATTTTTCTTTTTGTTTTTGTTTTGAATTCCTTGTAGTGCCCTGCCAGCCAGGCAGGTCCTGTTCTCGGGTGCCACGTAACTGTCTCACTGCTGTAGCACTGCTGTAGCATCCTGTATCCGCCCATAATCACAGCATAAGGGATGTTTTTTCTTTTTTTTTTGCCGTTGCTTCTCTGTTCTCTCCTGTACACGCCCGCACTGAGGGCACAGTCACACTAGCACCTCATAGACTGTATCTGGTCGTTATCAAGGCGTTCGGGAAGTCTCCTTTTATTTTATTTTCTTGTTCTTTAGTCGACGAAACTGCCCCGGCCCGGCAAAACTTGGTGCGCAGTGAAAATCAGGGTTGGCAAAAACAGGCTCGAAGGTAGCGGTGGTTAAAAAAAAAAAAAAAAAAAAAAAAAACATTAAAAAAAAAAACAAATCCACTTCCATAGAACACATAAAAAAGTAGAAGATCTTGCATACAGAACACAGCAATCATGAAAGCTTCCAGAACTAAAAAAAAAAACTTAAAAAAAGCTATCATGGCATAATCATGCACTTTTTTTTGTAACTCTGAATACTACCGGTAGCCCCAGACATTAAGAAAACCGCTCAGCAAGCTGCGATACGATCGTTCAAGCCATAAATTGTTTAGTGAATCGTCCACAGTCACATACCGTCAGTTATTTCTCGGGTTTCAGTCGGCAGTTTTTTGAAGATCTTGTTGCCTTTTTTTTCTCTCTTTTCCAACAAAGGAATTATGTACACGAGAAAAAAAAAAAAAACACCAAGCCATTACACAATTCTACACACAATTCACATTACATTACATGTATCCTGATATCTCCGTTTGTGGCCTCTGTGAGGTTGTTCCCATTTCCGCTACATGCATCATTCTGAGGTGACGAGTTAGTTGTTCAGCCAATCGGCAATGATGAGGAGTAATACATAACCCCGCTATAGTTCCGCGAGTACGTCTTGAGAGTCTCTCCAAAAAGTTCGGGGACTGAGGACAGGGCCTGCCTGGTGGCGGGCATAATTTTTTTATTTTTATTTTTTCATTGATGCGCCTGGTCCCACCTGAAGGCATGGGACAATTCATTTTTTTTTTTCCCCACCTAGTCGTGGGGTCTGACCAGAGGGAGCCTCCAAAATTTTGCGGAGAGGCTCATTCATGATTCTCAACTTGGCTGGGCCCATGTGCCGGTGGTTTAACCCTTTTTTTTGTTGTTGTTGGAAAGCCCGACCAGCGTCACTAGGGGGGGGCGATACGAGCAGCCTATCAGGTTAATAAGATCATATGTATGTGCTAAAGTTGCTATTCGTACCGTAGTAGTGTCACCCTTCCTTAGGGGGTACGCACACTAGCACTATCTTTCATGTATCTTACCGCGTGTACGGCCGGGCGCGGATGCATCTGGTCGGAATTCTGCCCAGAAATATGTAAAACAGTCCTAGTCGAGTATGCCCTTATTCAGACTTATATCAGGAATCCTGGCCCATGGCTGATGAAGGTGTTTGACTGCCAACTGCGGGCATGATATAATGGTGCAATGATCCAATTGCCTTGCTTCCGCTGTCTCGTGATTGGCTTTTGTGCATTTTCCTTTGTTATTGTGTTTGGCAAGTGGCATATTTTGTCGCTTTTCTAGTTTTGCAGGTAAGAAAAAAAGCCAGAAAGGGGGTATGTTATGGAGGAAAAGAAAAAGATTCGTTTGGGTATTTTCAACATGTTTGCTTGTGTCCATGAAATGGGTTGTTTGGTTGGCTTCCGTCTTCACCCGGATAGAACACACCTGGTCCTCGTCGCTGTATCTATAGACTGTAAGTTGCCCTACGTACCGCTATAATGACCAGGGGTTCTATTTGGGCGAAGTCGTTTTCCTTTGTTATTTGTTTGGTAATCAGCGTATTTCGTCGGGTTTCTGGTTCTACAGGTGAGGAAGGAAGCCAGAAAGGACAGAGATGTTATGGAGAAGGGAGTTCGGGCTTTTGTGTCTTATATCCGGGGTTACAAGGAGCACCAGTGCAAGTTCATTTTCAGGTGAATGAACCCACGCCACGCGGCTATGTGGTTTCTTTCTTTTTGCCCTTGCGGGCCTTCTGGCCTCATGTTTAGTTCTCCTGCTCAGAAAAGAACAGACTCTGCAGGTGGAGTCTCTGACTCTAAACCACCAGTACACCTGGGCGTCGAGACACTGCACTCTGCGCGCCAAGCTTTCCAAATCGCCAGCGGCACACTTTTTCTTTTTTGGCTGGCGCCGCCAGCCATTGTGATCCGGCAGGCCCGAGGCGTGGAGTTTTCGGATTAGGTGACGAGCAAATGTCCACAAGGCTGGCGCCGCGTCCTAGCGATCTAATTTCGACCGCCTGTGCGGTGTCGGTTACCTAGTGAGTTTTTCTTTCCTTCTTTCCCTTCAGCCACTGTTCCTCTGAATCAAATACACGGGCATTGTTGGTCTATCAAGTACCCTTGATACAGTCATAGTACCATATCAGTACCCCCCTCGTTACTGTACCCTTGATACAGTCAAGTACCCTCGATACTTTTATAGTACCATATCAATACCCCCCTCGTTGCTGTAGTCTTGATACAGTCGAGTACCCTTGATACAGTTATAGTACCATATCAATACCCCTCTCGTTGCTGACCCTTGATACAGTTAGCGTACCATATCAACACCCCTCTTGTCGCTGTACCCTTGATACAGTTGAGTACCTTTGATACCTTGATACAGTTATAGTACCATATCAATACCCCTCTCGTTGCTGTACCCTTGATACAGTCAAGTACCCTTGATACAGTTAGCGTACCATATCAACACCCCTCTTGTTGCTGTACCCTTGATACAGTCGAGTACCTTTGATACAGTTATAGTACCATATCAATACCCCTCTCGTTGCTGTACCCTTGATACAGTTAGCGTACCATATCAATACCCCTCTCGTTGCTGTACCCTTGATACAGTCGAGTACCTTTGATACAGTTATTGTACCATATCAATACCCCCCTCGTTGCTGTAGTCTGGATACAGTCGAGTACCCTTGGTCTATGGGGTACCCTTGATAAGTTGATACAGTGTTACAGTCATAGTACCATAATAATACCCTCCTATCCTACCTCGATACAGTTGTATTGTCTCTTGTTTTTGACAGTTTTCCCCCTTTTCCAAGTTTTCCCAAAAAATTGGACCATTTTTCGATTTATGTGATTGGCATTCCAATTCATCCTTGCACAGGGCCAATGCTTATCTTCTCTGTATCATTCCAATTTAACGGATGTCCCCGAGGACTACAGCTGTAATGTCATAATAATGCCCCCTCATTGTCTTCACCACTCTTCAGGGAAAGACAGTTGATTATAGTCGAGTTCTGGAACTTACGTTATGATCTGGTTTCCTTGGGTTGCGGACTCTAGAATGACTCTAATTACCACTCAACCCAACTCCAGTGAAGCGGTATTAATTTTTTTCTCAGTTTTAAAAACTTTTAATCGCAAAGTATGAATATCATACTTGCGGCGCATCCATTGCAAGGGGTCGTGGCAGAAGTGGCGCAGAGCGCATGCATGCGCGCGCACGTAATGCGGCGGGGATCACAAAAATAAATAAATAGATCGAAAGGACAGGGTGGGTGGCCAAACATGTCCCTTGCTTCTAAAAATCAGAAAGCAAGAGGGGAAAAAGTTGGGGCCACGCCATACCCCAAAACTGTGGGCTCATGTATGTGTGTGTGGGTGTGCATGTCCTAATCGTGTCCAGTGTCTGTGCCGAAGGGCCCCTACAGCGAATTAGCGAGGACTCTGCTCACGTGGAGCAGAGATAGACTTTAGACTTCCAGTTTGTATGTGTGGGCCGCGAATATACAGTCTGGATTCAAAGTCAGGTCTGTGCATCACGGTTATGGGTCACTAATTCTCTTTTTTCTCGTTTTTCTTTCCTTAGGAATACGTGCAGTGGCATCCGTTAAAATTGGAACGATACAGAGAAGATTAGCATGGCCCCTGCGCAAGGATGACACGCATAAATCGAGAAATGGTCCAAAATTTTTAAAAAGGAATACGTGCAGTGGCCCTAAGGGCCTCTGCTCACCACATGGGCAATAGACAAAGCATATGGCAGCATCGTATTCCACGTTCTAACAGAAGATTCATTCTGATTTTGCACATTTGGTGAGTAGTGCAGCCAAGCCCTGAGAATCCCGTGCAGAGACCAACAGGGCCTAGCTAAGTGAGCAGCCATAACTGCTGAAACACAGACCTCAATTCGAATCCTGAGTATTTATTCGGCCGGCTCGTGCTCCACTTCATACTGACTGCCTGCCTCAATTTTGGTGGAGGGTCTGCGCTAAATTGCTGCGAGGACACCTCAGATTTCGTGCATGGGCCCTCTGATACGTGTGAAGGGGATCTGTTGCTCTCTCTCTCTCTCTCTCTCTCTCTCTCTCTCTCTCTCTCTGTATACACACACACCCCTAATTTAAAAAAAGAGTGCATCACTAATTTGCGCATGGCGCATGCGCACTGCACGGCGCACCGCGGAAGTGCGCCGCAAGTTTGATGGTTTTTTTTTTTCGTCTTTTTTTTTTTCACGCTACACTTGACATATGTTTAGCCAAACCGCCGAGGAAGGTACAAGTATCAACAGGGTTTGATCTTTTGATCCAGCTGGGTTAGGGAATTTGTCCCAACTACTTGGAATTACCTGTGACAGGCCACGGAGGGGAGCTTGCACTTTGTGCAAACGAGGTGACCGCCCCCCTGATCCCCCCTCGCCATGGAGGGGAGCTTGCACGTTGTGCAAACGAGGCGACTGCCCCCCTGATCCCCCCTCAGGTCTGGCAAAGCTGAGTCGTTAGATTTCGTCAGATCCCTTGCCCTTCAATGCAAGATTTGTGAAAGATGCATGCACCTTTGTGGGTTGAGAACGGACAACCTTTTGAAAATTTCCTCTGAGGGCGCACTCACACTAGCACTATCGTAAATGCATCTGACGGCATTTATGGCCAGACCTGTATGCATGTGGCCGCAATTCCGTCCGCAAATAAGTGAAAAAGTGCCAGTGTGAGTATGCCCCGAGTTATGTAATCTACTTAGCCTCCTCATGAGTCGGTGAAACTGCAAAGAAACAGTAGGTCACCCACCCCTTCCCCACTTCCCCCCCGCCCCTGGGGTGGAGGTAATCTGAAGGGTCCTCGCAGCAATTTAGCACAGACCCTCCACCAAAATCGAGGCAGACAGTGAATATGACGTGGAGCGCGAGCTGGCCGAATATATACTCAGGATTGAAATTCAGGTCTGTGTTTCAGCACTTAGCAAGGCCTTGTTGCTTTCTGCACGTGATTCTCAGGGCTTTTTCGCTACCGGGTAGGGGTTAGCCCTTTTGGAAAACGCCAAAGACAAAGGCGGCGCCAGTTGCAGCCGGGAACATATGGGATCCAATGTTCTCCCTCAAAATGCCTTCCCTACGCACTGTTGGATCAGAATCTCATCCCTATTGCAAAGTTTTGGAGGCTAGGGGCTACCGGGCCACAATGACTGTCGGCGCCAGCCAAAAAAAAAAAAAAAGGTGCGCCCGCGGCAGCTGGGCAAAGCTTGGTGCGCAGTGCGGCGCCGCCAGGACTGGGTGTACTCGGGGTGTACCCAGCGAGGACGAGGGACTGTGAGCACTGACACTGTTTCGTTAGCTTTCACGTCGTTTTGATGTCCACAGTGCAGCACAGGACATGGAATTAAAATTTCATCGCCTGCCCCACAAGAAATTAATGTGAGGGAGGCCACAACAGGCCTTGCTCAGTTGGTACACCCATTAGCTGTTGGAACACAGACCCAAGTTCGAATCCAGATGCAATCAGATGCACACAATAAACTGAATTGAATTCTGAATCACCTCGGGCCGGTCAGTCCAACGATGATATCTCAACGCAGTCGCCCTTCAAAAAAAGATAGTATAAAGAAATTGATGTGAGGGTGTCTTCTGTTTGCCTTTATGGTTTTTAACTTCTTACTCCATCTCATTTGTGTTCCTTGAGCTTCTTTTGTGAACTGGGCAGGCTCTATTTTCCTGAATGGAGGTACCTGAATTCGCTTGCTTGGATAACTATCTGGCTGATGTGGAAATGCTGGTTCTATCATCTATGTGCATTCTTTGCTCTCCTGGATATGGGGTTGCTCAGGTTCGAAGACTTGGACTTTGGGTTACTTTGCATGGGATTCGGTCTTCTGCAAGTTCCCAGCATGCCGGAATTGAGACCTCGGAAAGGCGGCAGAAAGCCAGCCCTGTTTTCAACGGAGAAGTTCGTACCCGTCAAAGATCTGGATGTGAATGCAATAAAATATAGGTAGGTATGGGGAGCACAGACACACACACAGAGAGAGAGAGAGAGAGAGAGAGAGAGAGAGAGAGAGAGAGAGAGAGAGAGAGAGAGAGAGAGAGAGAGAGATTGATGGACCATTCTAGCGATCTGGAATGTAATTGAATTGTCGTATTTTACTATTTTAATCTTTTGATTCTCGAACCTTAAGACCATTGTTGAGTCGCGAAAGAATGAAGGAGTGTACAGCAGCTGTAAAACTGTCCATGTTTGTCACTGATGCCTCCTACTTCCTGTTCTTTATTGATGGAGAATGATATTATGATCATATGAGCTTTTTTGGCTCTGTTATGAAGTACTAGTATTGCATCAAAATGCACGTCTTGCTCGTTGCATGGCATTGGAACGAAGTTTTAATGAGAAAGATTGGGTAATGGTTTCACGGTTTTTCGTAGTTCGTTCTTTTGCGTGTTCCTCTGGGTGTTTCTCACTGTCTCTTCTGCAGAACTGTCTCATCTCGAAACCTTGTGCTGCATTTCCAACGTATAAAATAATGGAAAATTAAATGTGACATCAACTTGAAATCTTGCGCTGTATGTCCAGACTCCAAACTAAGATGAGCCAAAAAGGTTTTTTTTTTTTTTTTTTTTTTTTTTTTGAAACTCTGTAATCGTGGAAAGCTATGGCACAGTACTTCTCCCCTATTGGGTGGAGGATATCTTCTTGTTTTTTATCTTTTTCATTTATTTTTTTTATTATTCTTGAGACCACTTCTCGATTTATGCGTGTCATCCTTGAAAGTGCAGGGGCCATTTTGCTAATTACCCTTCTCTTCATCGTTTCAATTTTAAATTTTTAACGGACCGAAGGACTGAGTGGAGGAAATCTATTATCTACTCTCTCTAGGAGTATATCAAAGAAATGGTCCTTTTGCATAGTTGCGCTTTTTTCCTCATGCCTCAAAGAAATGGTCCTTTTGCATAGTTGTGCTGTTTTCCTCATGCCTTATGGGATTATGTGTCTTCTTGTTGCATCAATTTGAATGTGTGCGGTGATGGATTGGCGGTATAGGGATCGAGCGCGAGAGAAACAGCGGAGGAAGTTGATGGCGAAAGCCGTTGAAGCAAAGAGCAAGCGTCAATCATCTGTTCGGCGGGGCAAGGGTGCGATGGGATCATCGCTTGAGAAATCCGAGGGTGTAAAAAACCCAAGTGAACTGGAGATCATGAAAATGCGGAAAACCCCACGAACGCCGAATGACGTCGATGAAGACGAGTTAGAGGAAGATTACCGTCTGCTTAAGAAGCTAAAGAAGGGTCTTGTGACCGAGGCAGAGTACGAAGCAGCAATCTGTGATGAGATGGATGATGACGCAAGCCATGAGGGACGCGAAGAAGGTGGTGTTGGCGGGAACGATCAAGCAGAGAATGACAATTGTGATTCTGAGAATCTATGCGTGGAACACGTAGATGATCTGGCGCCAGTGAAGCAGAATATGGAGAAGACGGAGAATCCACGTGATGGTCATGGGTTTGCTGAGGGCCGTGCGCGCAGGCAGAAGGGTGGCAGAGGGTTTAGGGCAGAAAAGCGAAGGGGTCACCCTTGGAAAGGCACTCGGGGAAAGATGACCAAGAGGATAAGGAGGGGCAAGTCTAAAGCAGCCGGCAGTGCGAGGTAGCAATTGTGAAAAGGGCACATTGTAATCATACCACTTGGTGCCACACTCTGTGTGTGTGTGTGTGTGTGTGTGTGTGTGTGTGTGTGTGTGTGTGTGTGTGTGTGTGTG